GTGGAAAATATTTTTGGTGGGGCTGTTGATATAGTGAGTAAAAACAATTTTTTTGGGAGAAATGACCCCTTAAATTGGGACTGATACCGTCATATACCGTATACCACGGTATGATGTCAGCAAGGTATGACGGTATGAAAAAAATGATACCGCCCATGCCTAGTGGCTATATAAGTACAGACAATTATGAACCATTAGCGATACATTTCAGGCCATGTCACTGTAAATATATACACATCAACTGTAGAAAATATCTATATAAATAAAATATCTTAACGGATTTGAACACGTCTTCCTCCACCATGTCTTTTATTTATATTTATTTTTATCTCAGGTAACTCGCTGACACTTCCCTGGCTGTCGAACAACATGAGCGCAGACCACGAGGACGTTCATGTTCCCGTGAAGAAAAGCAAACCCAAACAAACCAAAGTGGTGACGTTCTGATCAGAACACACACACTCTACGTCTGATCAGAACACACACTCTCTACGTCTGATCAGAACACACACACACACTCTCTACATCTGATCTGAACACACACACTAAATCTCTCAAATCTCAATTGAAAGGACTGCTGACCGTTGACATGCAGTGAAGACGTTCTCTTCCTGGTTCCCTTTGTGTATATTTTTTAATAAAGTATTGCTTCTGTCTCTTCACAGTGTTACTTTGTTCTGGTGCTGCAACAACAACAACAACAATGAGTGCACATTATTAAATAATAACAGTTATAAAATCATGAATAATAATTAAAGCAAATTATATAAAATTATTATTTTACAGAAGCCAAAAAGATAGGAAACAAACAAATAACACCAAAAGGACAAGACAGGTAAGAACCATAGCAGCTACTTTGCTATTAAATATTTAGTTGTTTTTGTCAAACACTTATTTTTTTAATTCCTATTTAATATTTTAAAGTATTTACATCATATAGTATTTCAGATTGTGGGTTTAGTGCCGTTGTAATGTGAAGACACGGCCACTAGGGGGCAGCACTGACTCAATCTGCTGTTACTGATGTAGACATGAGACAATTAACTACTAATTACCTGAGATCTGTTCTTAAATTCTAATTAAATGATGTGCGATAATCAGAAAGAGATGCAATGATTTTATTCATTTTATATAATATATACATCTCTGTGACTCATATTCAGATATAAAAGAAACAAGGGGCGTTCCCACAATTGTACAAAATACAAATATACAGTGGGGCAAAAAAGTATTTAATCAGCCACCAATTGTGCAAGTTCTCCCACTTAAAAAGATGAGAGGCCTGTAATTTTCATCCTAGGTATACCTCAACTATGAGAGACAGAATGAGAAAAAAAATAAAGAATCCAGAAAATCACATTGTCTGATTTTTCTATACCCTTTGTTGGCAATGACAGAAGTCAAACAGTTTTTTTTAATGGAAGTCTCTCAAAGATTAAAACAGTCACTTGTGGAGTACCTCAGGGTAGTGGTTTGGGACCACTTTTATTTTCTACTTTTACAAATGACCTACCATTAGTGTTGGAAAAAGCTAAAATTGTAATGTATGCAGATAACTCAAAAATATATTATGCAGCATCAACGACAAGAGAGTTGAGAAATGTTATGAATAAAGATCTACTACTGATATCAGAGTGGGTCATAAATAATAAGTTGGTACTTAATGCGGGAAAAACAAAATCGTTATTAATAGGATCAAATCATCAGTTAACAGGTGAACCAAAATTGCAACTACATTTAAACCATATTGAAATTGAACAGGTCAAGGAGACAAAATTGCTAGGTATAACCCTGGATCATAAATTATCTTGGTCTAAACAAATTGATAATGTTGTATGTAAAATGGGAAGGGGTGTGTCAGTTGTAAAAAGAATTGTAAAATATTTGCCTATGGATGTCAGTAGACAAGTTTTGGATGCTTTGGTTCTGTCGCAGCTTGATTATTGTTTGGTTATATGGTCTAGTGCTGCTGAAAAAGATTTAAACAAACTACAAGTAGCACAAAATAAGGCAGCACGATGTGCACTGCAGTGCTCCTACAGAACCAGAGTCACTGAAATGCTGGAGACATTGAAATGGTTAACTGTCAGGCAGAGGTCAACTTATATTTTATTACATTTTGTCAGAAATATTACAGTGACTCACTCACCAGATATATTATCACAAAGGTTTATAGCGCAATATGCACAACATAACTATCAAACACGACATGCAATAGAAGGAAGGTTTGTATTACCCAAATCTAAATCAAATATGGGACAGAAAACAGTCATGTACAGAGCCATGATCAGCTGGAACTCTTTACCGGTTCACATCATTCAGGAAAATTCTCAAGTACATTT